CTCGCCCTACCCTGCTTTCGTCGTATATATATATATATATATATGATCTGTTTTGACACGATCGATCACAAGACCGTAATTCTTCGATCGCGAATCCGCGGAAAGGCGCCTGTCGCCTCGAATCGAGGAATTTTCGAAATTTGGAATCTAGATTCACCGAAACGCGCGATTCGAAACGAAACGAAAACACCAAGTTACTATTTCCTTCACTCTGCGGAAATCGAGAGGAGATAACTCGCTTATTCGACTGGTATATCGTGTTTTTCTGAATGATAGCTTCGCGCAAATCCGCCACAACAAGACGTATCTCTTTGAGGCCGTTCGTCGGAAAAATAGCGAGAAGCAATTCGGTGACCGCCGTCCTTCGTTCTCATCAGCCCCTTTGAAGAGACCACATTCTCGCAACAAGGATCGACATCGCGTTACCTCCGTCTCCGCGATGTTACGGAGTGACGATTCACTCTCGCAATGTCGATCGAGTCTCCCTTCGGGAACGAGTGTGCTCCGGTTAAATAGACTGCTTATGGGCTAATATAATCGTTAGCTTAGAGATCGTACCGCGCATAGCTGCCTCTGAACGTATCGTGAACGCCGCCAACAACGTGTCGAGGATCGATTACTTTTCGAAAGTGTCATACCATCCCGGAAAAAGTTCGCGTCCCCGATCGCAATTCGTCTCAATCTGATCGTTTGGTCCTCTGGTAACTGGCCGGTGTTACTTTCCCCATCGCGGCGGAAAATCGCCTCTGGCAATCTCGCGAGTTTCACGAGCGATTCGCGACTCAGCGTGGCGGCGTCCCCGTGACTATGCACTAATTAATAATTACGATAATAATAAAGACGCTACGAACCAGGATCCAGGAGCGTGTCTCGTGCATCGAGGTCGGAGCGGCTCGCCGTAATGTTACGCACATCGATCTATCACTACATCAGTCTGTGACTCGTGGAATGTCAGGAAGAGATCGTGGAATGTCGGATGTAATCGGTGAGAAGGGGGGTGCTGGAGGGACGGATCGGCGATAACGGGGAGGACAGGATCCGGTGTGGCAACTGAAACATTTTAATAGAAATAAAACGAACGACGTTTTTTTGAACCAAACACAAATCAGTTTAATCCTTAAATAAAACATAATAATTATGTTATTTAATAATTAATTAAATAAATAAATAAATAGTCGGCGTTTGTAGTAGTAGTTATAGTAGTAGTAGCAGCAGTAGTAGTAGTAGTAGTAGTAATGGTGGTGGTAGTGGTGGTGGTAGTGGTAGTGATATTAATGATAATAGAGGTGGTAACAGCGATAGTGTTAAGTAGTAACAGTAATTATAAAGCAGGTGGTAAAAAAAGTGGCGAGACGAGTAGAACGATGATGTGTATTAAAGTGAGCAAGTGAAGTGAGAGCGATAAAGTATCATTTTCCTTTTCTATGATCCTTTTCTAGCTTCACGGGAGTAGATGATAATGAGACGTTAGAGGGTTACACGTAACTATCAAGACGAGAAACACAGAAAAAATACACGATCATAAGTAGTAGTAGTAATAGTAGTAGTAGTAGTAGTAGTAGTAATAATAATAATAATTATAATAATAATAATAATAATAATGATGACGATGACGATGGCAATAATAATAGTAACCACAATAATAAGTATAATCGTACGGTAATAATAGCGAGAAGGAGAAGAATCATTGTCGTAATGGCAAATGTAACTGCACATAGTACACGCGAGACAAAACACTGTATGTGTTTGTGTGTTTGTGTGTATATGTGTGTGTATGTGTATGTGTGGGGAGGAAAAAACGGATATAACGGCTCGCTGATATTGAGAGGATGCTGTCGAGGTACGATTTGTCGATCTCTCGCGCGTCGTCCGCGACACGAGAATCGCGAAAAATTCACCTCTCATTTTCCCCCTTTTCTCTTGCCAAGCAATTTTCTTTTTTTTTAACATCGCGCAAAATGCGTCCCCGTCGTTGATCGACCCATCGGACGGCGCGCGATTGCGTGTATCTCCGTAGCGTACCGCGAGTGAAACTCGCTCGCGCTACACTGCTCTTCGCTGACGCGCGGAAACACGCGCAACCGCGCGACATCTCTGTGCTATTACTTTCATTATTTAACACGGCATTCGCGACTCGTGATTACAGCGGGAGGGAGGATCGTCGATCGTCGAATTCGCGCACCCTCCGATCAGCGAGCGCGAGATTTTGCTTGCCCATTTTGCTTTACTCGCGCGCCCGCGCGAGTAAGACGTCGTCGTCTTCTAACAATCATTCGCTGGCGCGTCAAAACTTACACTAATGTATGTCACGAACTGATCGACGTTGGCCTCGTGTCTCCCACGGCGGGTGATCTACGGACTCCAACGGTAGAGAACGATTGCTCAATATATGGAGCAATAAAAGGAAAAAAAAAGAAAAGAAAAACGCGACGCTGGGAGATAGGACAGGAGCCGCGGGATGGACCCTAGCGAGAAACGCACAGCTTCGTCCACGCCACTCCGTCGACTCCCCAGACTAGATACAAATAGGTACACTATATATGACAATTACATACGTAATCCTTTTTTGGTTTCCTTGACTAAAGCTACTCTTAATCGAGTGTCGCCTCACTCGCTAATTAAGTAATCCGCGCGATCCGCCCTTTCTCTCTTTCTTTCTCTCTCTCTCTCTCTCTTTCTCTCTCTCTCTCTCACTCTCTCACTCTCTCACGCTCGGTTTCGCATTCATCGATCTCTCGACTCGGATCGTCGAGTCGCCATTTCTCACGAAAAGTGACGCGGACCGAGACTCATCGGCGTCGTCGTTGTTCTTCCTCCGAAAAGTGCGACAGATCTCGATCGAGATGTCGCGCGGTGCAAATTAGCGTGAGAGAGACGCCGTTCGCTTGCTCTCGCGTCGTGTTTCGCTTAACCGACGTCACCTCGTTAATACGACGAGTAAGATTAAGCACGTAAGTATACGCCGCTTCTCTCCCCCCTCCCGGTGATATATGTTCGCTATCCTGGCACGGTATCCTTCTCTCTCTCTCTCTCTCCTCTTTTTCTTTTTGGGAGGCGGGCAGAGGGAGGGGGGATTACGCAAGCGCGTGATCACACCGACAACGCGGTTGTTAAGTTGCACGTAAGACTAGATTGCGTGATTCCTTAAACCTGACTTGAGATCGAACGTTGAATTAGCTCTATTAATCTGTATCACATTACCCGTGCACACCGTCCTCGAAGTACATGCAGGAACGCGAGGATCTCGCGACGCCCTTCCGCATGACTTCAGGCTCTCCCGAGGGCGAGCGAATAAAGTGTTCCGCGAAAATGTTCAACAACCAGCGTTGTTCCGTGAACAGCGGGGGAGAGAGAGTATTTGTCGTCCTTCTGCTCCGTTTCACGGAACAACACGCGGCCGTTGCTCCCTGTGTTCCTCTCCGTATACCGTATTGATAATTTTGACGAATCTTCTTGTCGCGAAAAAAAATCGTGCAATATATCGATCAACAATGAAGAAGCGTAAAGTCGCACATGATGATGTCTCGCGATTAATTACGCGCACGAGAAGAATGAGGAAGCGCGCTCTCCTCTCCGGATTCCCATCGGCTGAAATAATCGCGCGCGCGCTCTCTCTCTCTCTCTCTCTCTCTCTTGATCCGCCTCAAGTCCCTCTCGCTCGATTCTTTCCGCAAAAATCCGTTTACAAAAGGAAGGGTCGCGAAGAAGCCGCGTAATCGTGAGTCGTAAAATATTCTCTCAGACGGTGTGCCCTCGCGGGGGGAAACTGTCGAGAGTCAGACTGGCCTTCCGAAAGCGCATTCTTTTGTTTCTTTTTCTCTTTTGTCAACTACACACCTAAGTACGTCCCTTACTTAGAAAAGTGACGAAAAAAATAAGAAGAAAAAAAGGAAAAAATAGCCACGTCAACGCGCGTCGCCGCGTACCCGATGTTCGTCACGATGACGAGTCAATGTTTCCTGAATCGCCGACGGGACGATCGAGCGTGCCCGAGGCTGAAAGCTACAATAAATAGCGCGTGCCGCCTAGCGCGCCAACTATATATAATGCTATAATAACGCTTTAATAAATTTTATATCTTTTCCCCCCTTTCTTTTTTTTGTTAATTTCACGCCGTATCGCGCGACGCGATCGCGGACCGAGTTCTCCTGTTGTCGCTTTCTCCCCGTTTCTATCGATCTGCTCGATTCTCTTCACCTGCGCCGCCCGCGGAGCATCTCCTCCGGGAATAAATATACGCGTCTCTGGATGCCCGTGTTCGAACGGTAGCATCTTAATCCAACTAGTAAGTTAAGTATACCATGTTCGCGCACTGTGTGAGAGACGTCCGTTCTGCCTCTCTTTCCCTTTCTCCCCCTCTTTCTCCTCGTTCTCCTCGTGGTCGTTCGAAAAATCGTGAGTGCGAGCCCTGCCCGAATACTCTTTTTCTTTTTCTCTTTCTCTCTCTCTCTCTCTCTTTCTTTCTTTCTCGCGATGTTTCGACTCCACGTGTCATCATCGTACGAAATATCCGGTCTGGCCCTTGCCCATTCGTAACGTCTTGGTCGCGATTAATTCAGTATTTAATTAATTAGTAATACCTTTGGTATGTCAAACGGTCCCCCAATACCGTTCATAGTGTATGCGAAATACGTTGCGTCTCTTCCTCAACTCTCATTCTCTCTCTCTTGCTTTCTTCATACATTCAAATATCCTCATCGCATTTTCTCTCGTTCTTCTCCCACCTCTCTCTCTCTCTCTCTCGTTCTCTCTCTCTCTCTCACACACCTTTCTCTCGTTCTCATACACACGACGCTAATACTCTCTAAAACTTATGCATAAAACGAGTATGTATAACCATCTACTACTAAGCACTGTGTGTGTGGGTCTGAGTTTTCTTTTAATACTCCCCCTCTCTGTCTTCCTCACCCCTTTCTTACGCTCTCTTTCACTCTCTCCCACCCGCTCTTTTTCTCACCCTTTCTCTCACATCTCGCTCGCGACCAGGAAGCGCGAGGGTGCGGTCACGTGATCCACGTGTTCCCCGCGACGAGTTGTCTCGCGTAAGCGCGTCGTCTCGAGAGGTCCGATGCAACACATTATTCTTCCACGACAGCCCGCCGTTCTTAACGCCGCGCATTTTTTTTTATGTTGATCGTTCTTCTATAGTTGTACGTGCATGTGTATGAGTGTGTATGCACGTGTATGTATACATGTGTGTGAGCGTGTTGTGTGTCCATATAGTAAGAACGTGTACCGGTGTGCACGTATGTGTATACGTGTGTGTGTGTGTATGTGTGTATACGTGTGAATCAGTCTCACAGCCCGATATCGTCGTGACTAACCCGGTCTCATGGATGTACGTTAAGTAGAAAAAAAAGAAGATCGGCCGAAAGTGCCGGCGGAGGCTCTCGACGCCATCGTCACACCTATTAACGGAGGAAAGTTCCTTCGCTCCCCTCTATAAATGTGCTCGCTCCCTGCTGTCGGCCTGTTCGCCGCCGCCCCCTGTCCTCTACTTGAGCCCTTAGGGCTCTCCCAATCTTTGCCGTTCCGATCTTGCGGGAAACGTTCGCACGAACGGGCATCACGTGGCCCACGAGCGTCCCCACGTACATATACATATAAATCGGTAATATGTATGTACAGGACCCGCGATCGGTCACTGTGCGCGAGCCGCGTAAATCCTAAAAACACGAGTTTCATCGTGTCTCCCCTCTCTGCCCCCTTCCGTCGTCCTGTCGCCGACTCGCCGACTGAGTCTTCGCACCCTCGTACCGTCTTCGTGCGTCGATGACGTCCGGAAGAGCGGTGACAAATGATACTTTCCCAGGCGATATTCGTTCGTTCTCGACATCCTTTTACCACGAACTCGATTCGACCGCTCGTTTCTCTTTGTCCGATTTTGTTGGACTAAATGTCAGCATCAACGAGAACGCCGAGGGTGTCTCAGATTCCCGCTGTGTCACTACGTCGCGTCCTCGACCACGGTCGAACGTGAGGACGGAAACATGCGAGGGTGAGGCGAGTGCCGACTCGAGAACGAAAGGAGACAGAAAGGGCGACGCGATTGTGACTCGCGCGCATTTAATAATGTCGCATGTTTTTCTACCGCCCACCTTATCCCCCAACCCCTCCCCCCCCCCAATCGAGGGAAATTCGAGTTTTCAGCACGTGTCAGCAAGCTTCAGTCGTGCAGTTATGTTATCGGACACAGTCGAACGACTCAACACCCACCACCTTCTTATCAACCTCTTTTATTAATTTTTTCACACACACACACACACACACACACACACACTCTTTCTCTCTCTCTCTTTCGCACATAGTTTTCTCTCGTTATTATCTTCCATGTATTCTTTCCTTGTTTGCATTTTCCCATTTATCCTCTTTCTCTCTCTCTCTCTCCCTCCCTTTCTCTCTCTCGCACATACACGCACATTCATACACTTCATCTTGTCCTTTCTTTCTCTCTCATACATACTCGCCACGTGCACATACACACGCACGCACACACATACACACAATCACTCCTCGCAACTACGCTTTCTCGCTCTGCTGGAGCTTCTTGCCGCCGGCCTGACGGTTGTTGTTGGGCTTGCTCTTGAGGGAGGTCTGCTGCTTGGCTTGCGCATGCTGACGCTGTTGCTGCTGCTGCTGCTGCTGCTGCTGTTGCACCGGGTTCGCCGCTCCCGAGACGGCTATTTCAATCGCCCGAGTGAGATCGTGTATGCGCGACGGTAGGCGCTGGAGAAACGGCTGCCGTTGGCCCTTGGCACCGTGGAGAATGCCGTTACCGCCTCCGCCGCCGTGGTGACTGTTGCTGATGCTGTTGGCGGGATTCGCGCCCGGCACCTGACCGGGTCCCCTCTTGTTGTAGAAGTGACCCGGCATCGGCACCGGTAGCTGCACCACCGCGGTACGTAGCAGCCGATGACGACGATGATGGTAAGGCGCCGCTACCGCCGCCGCGTCCGCCGCCACGGCCGCAGCCGCAGCCGCAGCCACCGCCGCCGCTGCCGCCTGTTGCTCGTCCTACGCCGTCTTGCTCTTGTTCGTCTTGAAGCTGACCTGGAGCACACGGTTGCCCAAGGTGTAGCCGTTCAGGCTCTGTATAGCCACCACCGCCTCCTCGTAGTTGGTCATCGTCACGAAGCCGAAGCCCTTGCACTTGTTCGTCTGTAGGTCACGTATAACCTTGACCGACTGGACGGCGCCGAAAGGCCCGAACAGCTGCCACAGCACGTTCTCCTCTGTCTCGGGCGCGAGGTTGTACACGAAGATGCACCAGCCGGCGCCGTTCATCGTGTTACCTGGCAGCATGGAGTTTGCGAGGAGGTCACCCGCCAACGGACTGTACCTGAAACACGACGTCGCATCGGTCATTAAATGGATATCGTCGCATTCAACGGCATAAGGCTAGGTGTGAGGGAGAAGGAAGAGGTGGTGGTGGAGTGGTGGCGGACGAATCGCGGACTCACTACGCACTCCGGAGGAGGATAGGAACGATGCTGAAACGTCAAGCTGTCGCCGCTCCCAGCAGCTCAGAAACTCGCGTTCGTTGTCTTTCTCTATTTTCAGCGTTTCTTTTTTTTCTTTTTGTTTAGCATTCAACGTACACACAATGTTTTCCAGACATTCGAACTTGGCAGAGCGATACATTTTGTTCCGCGTAATCTAGGCAATTTTTACAATTTATGCCACAATCGCCATTTTACTCGCGCTCGTCTCCGTATTTTTCTTTCCTTTATTTTCTTCTTTTTTTTTTTTAATCCTGCTGCATACGAATGTTTTGCGGCATCCCGAGAACTGAGAACGACAAAAGGCACATTCTAAGTGACGGTGAGAGCTTTAAAAATATACCGCGCTCTTATTTTATATCTTATTATCGTTCTCACGTCTCGTCACGGAAGAGAACGTTTGAGCATCGTTCGGGCTATAATTATACCTGCTGGAACTATTCTGCCTTTCTGAGTGGAGAGTATGTCTAAATAAGGTTTTACGTTATACGCTACTCGCACAGTATATCGCAATCCCAATGAGATTGAACGTGTTATATAGCGTGATGCGATTATATATTATACACATATACAGGTATCGATATGAAAATTTATTTCGCGCCAATTGCGAATCGGTCGAATCTTCTCATTAGATCACAGATACGTAAATCTCGCAGACACTTATACGACGAGACACTGTATAGCAGAAAATGTGCGGTAACATATCAAAGACTACACAAGAACCGACACACCTTGCGCCGTGTAACTTAATGCACGAGATAATGACGGTAATAGTAAGTGATGTAACGACAGCGTGCAAATTTCTTCTGTGCATCCAAAGTATACACTAAAAAAAAAAAAAGGCACATGCGACATACATATACACACACACACACACACACACACACACACACACACAAGGTACGCGGGTGTTAATGCCAGTATATTAAATACGGTAAATTTGTCAATTAAATAAACACACACAGTATCTTAGCGCAGGAAATGAAAGTAGAAAAGCTCCGATTCACACGCCATCGTTTGTCGCTCTACAAAAGGAAAATATATCCTTACTATCGTCGCATATAATACGAGAGAAAGAGACAGAGAGATTAGACTATTGTAATCGAATTTACAGGATGCGTTAAAAAACGCAAGTGTGTTCTGTTTTATACCGAAGCTTCGCCGAATTTATCCTTTTCAACGCATCCTGCGAATAATAAAAAACAAGACACTAGGCAACTGTTCGCAAATCTTTATCTACAAATATCGCGAGTTTTGCTACATAAAATAGATAGTAACGGTTAATATCGAGAGAGAGAGAGATAGACAAAATGTAAATGTAACAAGGAGAAGCATAACAAAAATCAAACGGTAAGATCACACAAGAATACAATCTGTTTTTTTTTTTCAACAAAGGGAAAGACTACACCCCCTTCGTACATTTCGGGCAGTGAGAGATAAAGATTCACAAATACACATCGCACGAGCTGAACACACGAGAAGGGAAGGAAAAAACAAAAAAAAAGAAAAAACACTTATTATCACAACTCCTTATTATCACAACATAAATCGATACATGCGTTTCCGCCGGGAAGGTGCAGCAACGAAAAATACAGCATCTGCCGGGAGAGAAGAACAGAGACGCGCGCGATGGTATATTCGTTGTTACTTCGCATTCATACACATTCGCATGCACAGCTAGACGACAAGATCGCACACATAGGTACAGAACGTGTCTCTCGAAAAACACAAGCCGACTCCTTGGATGTGACGCTTTACTCCGTCGAAAGAGAATCACGAAGCGTGATCGATCGTGGATCGTATTAATTGAGATCGGACACATTAATACCGCGCTTCAGAACCGTCAAGCGAGAGAATTTGCGAGGAAGAGGTAGGCAATTGTATACGGTACACGTCCCGCACGACGGCACCTGAGTGAGAGGGGGGAGTATTTACAGATGTAAAAATATCTCTACGTACCTACTTGACGTCACAAGCCGCGTTAAAACAGGGCACATCTCGGTGAGTACTCAGTATAATGCCGAGGCCACAGTAATTACGTATGCATTCGTCACGAACGTTGTTCCGTATTACCGCGAAAAAGTAAACGTGTACGTGTGTCTGTGTACAGTACGTATGTCTCCGTATATTCTCGTGGTTGTGTGTGCATGTGTGTGTGTGTGTGTGTGTTTGTGTGTGTGTGTGTGTATATATATATATTTTTTACACGTGCACGCGGAGACGTGTGCATCGGGTGTTTGCAAAACCGCGTGCACACGTCTAATTAATTTCGCGCGCGTGTGCGTGAGTCGTGCGGCTTTTCGTGTACATTTGTGTATGCGTGCGTGCGTGTACACGTGTGTCGGTGTGCTGTGTGAGGGGGGCGAAAGAGAGAGAGAGAGAGAGAGAGAGAGAGAGAGAGAGAGAGAGAGAGAGAGAGAGAGAGAGAGGAAAAAGAAAAGAGAGAAAAGAAGAAACGATGGAGTCGTGAGGACGAGAAAATGAGGGGGGAGGGATGGGGGTGGTAACATCACGTTGCTTGCGCGCGAGTCTATCTCGCAGCTCACTAAGCGTTATGTACACACATGTATACTTGTACGAGTGTCTGCATCCGGCTAACTCTTCGTATGTACACGGAGAATTCGGGGGAGACGTACATTCCGGGCGGGGGAGAGTAAAGAGTCATCGGTTCGCGTTTATTTGAAATTTCGCGTGAAAGTCGGGAGATGTTTTAGGTAGAGATTGCGAAAGAGAGATCGAGAAAGTAGCGGGGTATTTCTCGACAGAGATTGCAGAATGCGGCATATATGCGCGTAGCTGACCGTTCCTCGAGATCACACAAAGACATTGAATTCGGGCGTTTTTAAGTACGCGAGGTATTTCACAGCGACAGTCGACAGGGCGCGACAGGTAATCGTACGAAACATGTGCTCGCACAGCACATTTTCTCACGGGGGTTGCCAATTCCACCGCTCGCAACATGTACCGTCAAATAACCGACGTTCTGCGGTCGCGCGTTGTGTACGAACGTGTAGAGAACAGCAGAGATCTCTAGGATATATTCTATAATGTAAACCGTCGCCGCTGCGCAAGTGTCGTGTCGTGTCGCAGTTTGTTCGTCGTTAAAAGAAGAGCGAGTTGCAAGTAGCGCTATGTTTAAACAAGTGACAGAACGGAGGAACCAAGGAGGCTTGTTTTGCGAAAACAAATTCAATAATAATATAATAATATACGTGACATCGATATATCTACCACTGTGTGTCTGCACAAATAAATCGAACCAAAGCGAAAAGGCGTGAAGAATGCAAGTGTGGTGACAAAACGGGGTCCCGTTACGAAATTTATGATTGCCTGGAATAAATCAGCAACGTGTCTCTCTTACGTCACGGAGAACAATCGGTCGCGCGAGAACCAGTGAAGACGAGCCAACAAGATCGAGAGACAACAATTACGAATGATACAAAAATCATGAGCAATCTTTTCTTCCCTGTCGCGTTGTCTCAACAGGAACAAATTATTTCGCGATATTTAAATGTCGAATTCGTAACGAGTCGAAGAAAGGAGAGAAACATACGAGATGGAGAAAGGTAGAGAGAGAGAGAGAGAGAGAGAGAGAGAGAGAGAGAGAGAGAGGGAGAGAGAGAGAGAGAGAGAGAGAGAGAGAGAGAGAGAGAGAGAGAGAGAGGGAGAGAGAGAGAGAGGGGGGGAGAGAGATAGAATGAGAAAATGAGAGTGAGAGTGTAAGAGAGAGCGAAAACGAAGCCACACAACGGAATAATTAAACGGAAATCAGGAGGAACGTAGTGGTAGTAACGAAAAAAATACTGACCTCTGTAAGCCTTTGTTAATGGCAAGCATGGCCTTGCCAGTGCTAAAACAAAACACAAAAAGAACAACGTAAGAAGAGAGATACTCCGGGATCGAGCCAAAGTCGGGATAAGTCGGGCGCTTTTCCTGTGCCAATCATTGTATTTCCGGTTCTCTACCCTCTACGTAGCGGTGCGTATTTACCCGGTAAACGAAATCATGGGGATGCATTGCGAGAGACTCGGAGAAGCGAAGCGGTTTTCCTCGACATCGTTGATTCTTAACGATGGCGAAGTGCGACGCACCGAATGTTACGCAACGTTCGCACTGTCGAAGAATCGCGATGCAGTTTGCAGGAAAAAAAATTCACGCTCGATTACAGATCGATTACATCGCATATAAAACAAACGATCTCGACGCGAGGTTCACCTCTACTCCTTCTTCTTTCTCTCTTCGCGCGGACCGCTTCGGTTCCCTGCCGAGGAGGGAAGCAAAATGGGATTATCCTCGCGGCAGTGGCATAACCGTTGCTGAGATTGTTAGATACAACACCTTTAATCATCAACGTAAAAGACACAATAAAGAGAAGCGGTATAACAAATCGATACTTGTGTCTCCAAATCATACTCATAAATCAAGAAAACGTATGTAACATGACGTGTATATGATATACAGGAAAGAGCTGAAACATTGAAGATCGTCAACGAAGTGGAGGAAGCCCGGCACTGCTTCGATCGAGGTTCCGCCCTCAGACGATACGCGGACAACGTCGACTTCGAGCAGGTGCGATTTCGAGTGGTGCGCGCTTTCAGACGCTTTCGCGGACGTTACCGCGCAACCGCATGAAAATGCAACAATACTGTTCGATCCGCCTCGAAATCTCAAGTCTTCGTCGTCGCACAAAGGTGCGCGGTGTCCTTCAACGCTGACAGCTTAACAACTGTCATCGCCACTCCGCCGTAAGGGAGAAAGGGGGATAATGAGAGAGACAAAGCGGTAGCGAAGCGCGTCTACACTCGGTTAACGCTTTGTACTTGTTAAAAGAACCAAACAATCGGACGTCGGTCAGGCGGGTCTCACCGAGAGATTTTTTTTCGGCGCGGCGCTCTACCTCTCGAGACCGAACACGGACAAACGGACCGTGACAGGTGCGACTAATGAAGATGTATTGTGCGTGTGTACTGTCTTTTTTCGCGTCAGCGAAATCGCGAAGTTTGTTCGAGTGTATGTGTGTACGTGTGTGCATGTGTGTGTGTGTGTGTGCAGCGTATTATCACATGTGTAGCTAGATCGCCCTCGATGGCGAGCATCGTGATCGCAATGGCTCGAAATGAAAGAGACATGGGAGCTATGTATGTGTGTGTGTGTGCGCGCGCGCGCGTCGCCGCGATAGCCCAGGATTTTAATAGGACGTATACTTGTCATCAGGCGTGTCTCGACTGTCAAGGGAAAACGATTCTACGTAATTTTACACTACACACACGCACACACCGATCGATCCAAGTGATACTGTGTGCTTGAGGACAAGTATCGAACACAGGACGCAGGACTGTCGTGTGTGTGTGTGTGTGTGTGTGTGTGCTCCTTGCTCCTCCATATTTCGAGAACGGCCAAGGATCAGTTTGATCTCCCTGAAATCGAACGCGTACTCTCATCGTCGAGCGTTCCTGCGTCTCGTGTGTAAAGTCAGTAGATATCTTAGACTGTGCTCATACTCGTCTCGTGAGATCTCTGCTGATCGTTGGCTCTAAAGGAGAGGACGAGGACGAGAGGAGGAAGAGGGACAGCGAAAATCAGATAGCGATACGCGCGATGGATTGAGGGAAGGCAAAGCCACGGGCGCAAATAATGCAAGAGGGCCAAGCGACGTTTCTCGGTGTCGCGTGAAGTTACACCGAAGATGGATCTATTATTCCTTAAGGTCATGGAGCTATCCGATCGAATCGCCCTTGGTAGGCTGTTTCGTCAATATGCAAGTTTAATGGAAAAATATCGATCGCCGGACTTTTCATCTAAAACAAAGTTACCGCCGGGTCTTCGCGCAAATTACAGTTCCGAAATGTTTTCCATCGGCTCGCAAACTTCCCCTCGTTTGCGTCCCACGTTTTTCGCTTTCCATCTTTAGGTCACTGAATGACGACAGCAAGGTAACTTGGCAAGGTCGAAAGTGGCAAACACGTATCTATGACGATTGTGCGAACGCGAGGAAATGTCATGAAAGGAAAGATAAAATAAAAGTAGAAACCATATTTCGAAAAAGAAAAAAAAAGATTGTTTTTCCATTTATACCGAGTGAAAAAAATGGAGTAACGTTTTATCGCGGAAGGTAACGCGAATGTCCGAGCAACATTATCGGAAAGTAATAGAGCGCACACAGAGACACAAGATAAGGAATGGACGTGTTGATGCACATCATACAGATGATACCGAAGAAGGAGCTCTGTACCGAATAATTCGCACGATGTATGTTAAGAATCGTTTGAGACCGACTGATCGACCGATCAACGAACGTGTGCTGATTACTTCTGCTTATTTTGTCTCAAATTGACACGCTATATACGTAATTACAGACCGTTATTACGTGTTGCCTTGTTTTCGTACTTTTTCCTTTACTGTCCGATTGTAAAAAAATCTGTCCGGAAATAAATGACGGATTTCAAGTGTGACGTTTCACACTATTTTCTCCGTAGAAATATTAATTTTCGCCCGTGACAAAAATATCAATTTTTCTAACAAAAAGCTAGCAATCACAGTGAGACGATATGTGTACGGACGATCAATCGATCTAATCGAGTATTCATGTTTGCACGTGCCTGCCTGTGTGTGTATGTGTGTGTGTGTGTGTGTGTGTGTGTGTGTGTGTGTGTGTGTGTGTCGAGAAAGAGAAAAAGAGAGAAAGAGAGAAGGAGAGAGATAAATAGTAGTAAGAGAGATAGAGAAATAGATAGATGTAGACAGCTGGAGAGATAACAGACAAATGGATTGATACACGGATGAACAAGGAAAGATCCACGGACAAGAAAAGAACTCGACAGAGAGAAGTCAACTCACAGCTATAAAATATTACAAGAGAACCGACCAATAGGAGAGAGAGAGAGAGAGAGAGAGAGAGAGAGAAAAGGAAAAGAGTAAACAAAACTGGAAGAGAAGAGACAGTAGCATGCGGTCAACGCGATGCTTCAGTTCAAACAGCGCGAACGCGACATACCGATTCGTCGCACAGACGTCGATATCCACATTAATAATCACGTTAATTGATCGCGCATCTCTCTCACGTCGACTTCAAAGCCACGCCGGTACACGAGCGGCTCGGTCGCACCGTCCTCGGCGACGTGATCGAGTCGCCGGTGTCTCATGGCTCCAAGCTTGATAACAATCAGCAAAGGTAGAGCAGGAAAAAAAAGAAGAAGAAGAAGAAGAAGCGGGAAGAGAAAGAGACGTAGAGGAAGTGATAGAGAGATGAAAGAGAGAAAGACCCAGAGAAAGAGATGAAGAGGAGAGAGTAGAAAGTTTTAGAGAGAGAGAGAGAGAGAGAGAGAGAGAGAGAAAGAATCCTTGGGTAGAGCGAGTAGAGGCGAGTAGGTACCTGGATAGTGGCGACAGTGGAATGTACCTGAAGCGGCCGGTTGGGTGGTGGATCGGCCCGCCGAAGCGACGAGTCGCCTGTGGTGCGAGATAGGCGGCCAATGGCGGTATCGCCTTGTTGTTGTTGCTGGGATTGTTGGCGAATTTGACGGTGATCGGCTCGGACGAGCCCTTCGGTATGGTGCCGTTCAGCTCCTGAATCGCCCGCTCGGCCTCGACGCGCTGGTCGAACCTTATGAAGCCGACACCCTTTGACAGGCCTGTCGAGGCGCCGACGTCGGCGAAACACACAAGATCACACTCGTTATTGCGAGATTGCGGCGGCGCCGCCGTTCGCGACGCGCGCGCGACGCAGCGTTTTCTTTTCTTTTTCTGCTCTTTTGTCTGCTCAGACTGCGTGCGGCCTCGATCGGGATCACGATTGATCTTCGCGCGTCTTTCTTTCTTTCGGTTCGATTCGGTTCAGTTCGCTAAGCGAGAGAGTGGGCAAAATCGCGGAGGGAGGAATGCACGAGAGAGACGACGAAACAAAGTTGATCTCAAGTTTCTGTTTCTTTTCTTCTTCTTTTCTGCCCCTCCCCCCCTCCTCCCCAGTTCCCTTGATTCTCTATGTTATCATGAATGATAAACAACAAAGCAATGAGAGCGACTACTACTACTACTGCTGCTGCTGCTGCTGCTGAGAAAAGAAACTTTCAACTTTGCTTTTCACGACCACTCAATTATTCTCACACAACTTACGTCAACTATCATGCCGGCTCCGCCGGCAGCGGATATTTCGTAATATCGCCGCCAATACCGCCGACGTAAATTGCAACGGAACGTGTTCTCGGCGCGCATTGATGCGACGCAGCGACGATTCGTCGCAGATGCGAATATTGGATCTCTCGTTACCGCGGAAAAATGCAATTTACATGGACGCCCCCGCGTCCGCGCGAGGCGAGAGAGGTTTGTTAAGCTCCTTACAGGAGAAAGATCGCAGAGTCGCTGAAGAGCGAGTGGTTCGGTGCGCGCAGATTCGTTTCTTTACTAACACACTGACAACGCGTTGTCGAGTGGACGTCTTTTTGTCTTTCTTTCGATTTTCTACTTTGCCCGTGGATGTATCCCGCGGATTGGATATTCAATCGCGTTGCTGATTGACTAATAACGGGTAAAACAGAAATAAAAACAAGAGAGAAAAAGAATGAGAAATAAAGAGAAAAAGAGAGAGAGAGAGAGAGAGAGAGAGTAAAAAAGAGTGAAAGAGAGAGAGAGAGAGAGAGAGAGAGAGAAAAAAAGAGTGAGAGAGAGAGAGAGAGAGAGAGAGAGAGAGAGAGAGAGAGAGAGAGAGAGAGAGAGAGAGAGAGAGAGAGAGAGACAGTAATAAAAAACAAAGCGAGTACATTCGATCGCGTGTACGCACGTAAATGTCAGTAGAATCGAGAGATCGTAATGGCAAATCATAATCAATAACGAATGACAAAAAGCGTAAAGAAACAAAAGTGGCGCTCGGGGAAGAAACACTGAACGATGGCGCGCGCCAGGTCCGATTTACCAGAGATGCACCTTTTCATCCTCCAGCTCCTCATTTTCTCCTCGTACCGATCGCCGTAAAACCTCGTTAGCGAGCCTCGAATTTTCGGCGCGGCCGACTCGCGGTGTGATCAATTCTCTCGAGACTCTAGAAATCCTGCGATAATTTTCTAACGCGAGTCGAGTAGAGCGAGTAACGTTCGTCGCGCGGCTCGAAACTGTCACTGAGAAACGGGTCTTCTTCTCTCATCGAGTGTGTCGCCATTGGTCTCGCGCGTTTGCGATTAATTTGGACAAAACGTCACCGTCAATAACCCGCAAACGCGGACTTCGTTCAAGGTGACGAGGTCCCGCTTCGCGGTACTTCGCGTCGAATCGATTTTCGATTCCGCGTGCGCGCGCGATTCCGCTCGATTACCGGCCGCCCGCGCCGGCGGGAGGAAATCGGCATTCGTATAACTTCTGCGTTCCTGTTTTATTAACAACCATCGAGACGGCGATATCGCGGGCGACGAGGCGGACGACGCGACGCGGACGCACGACAAACGAGGTCGCAGACGAGGCGCGCGCATCATTCCGGAAAACGGCTGCTTCTCATTTGGTTCTTTTTTTTTTCTTTTCTTTTCCTTTCTTTTTTCGTTCAGCTGAAGAGCGCGTAATGAGGAAAAAGAAAAAAGAGATTTGTGAGTTACGTACCGGGCAAATTGTCTCCGCCGCCGGTCACAAACTGTCGTACTAAACAGAAACGAAAAAAACCATATCTCGTTAAAATCCAACTGGCAGCACCCCGCGATTCGCTCGCCCCTGATTCGTCGGCAAATTGGGGGGGGGGGTGGCGGGAGGGAAAAGACAAAAACGATATGGAACGTGTTCTCGCGAGTGAAAATCAAAGAAGCGGGGGTCGATTTGCGCTAACTAGGGGAGAAACGCGGGGACAACGCAAACTGAAAACAACGACATCAATCTCGCGTCCGTTCAACCTCGAAAAATCGTGTCCACGAGTCATGCTCTGAAGAGAGAGAGAGAGAGAGAGAGAGAGAATGACAGGAATCAAACGCGACAATCGCGGAATCTCTGTTTCATTTTCTACTACGAGTCTACACTACAAACGTACACTTTCCAACTGATATCCTCTTGTAGCTTGCAGGGAGTAAATTCCTGGCAAGGAGTGCTCGGAAAATAACTCATGCTCGAAAGTGTCCAGTGAACGTGGCACCCAAAAATCATAAGACTACGGGGTTTACAAAATAAAAAGAAGACAGAAAGAAGAAGGAAAAAAAAAAACTAATAAATCTATACGAATTTCAAACGACAGATTTTACTCGCGCTCTTTTATTCCGTTTCGACTACTGCGTCGCTCAAGAAGCGAGTCGTCGGTTCTACCCGTCGTTGCTTTTTCCGCGGCTAATGACGTCTCGCGCATCGCGACAAGGGGCGGTGGATGATGACCGTCGCGAAGTAAAACATAAACTTACCAGCGAGGCGAATAAGGGGCGAGCGAACTTCGTGTATAAATTACGCTACTTCTTCTGGTCTCTCTCCTTAATCGTAGAAAAAGCGTGAGCGCCAAAGGGTGAGGGGGAGGAAAGGGATAATTTTCGGCGTGTGATCGCACGTGTATTCGCTCGTGCGAGGGGGGGAGGGAGGGGAGGACGAAACAAGCAATGTCAACTGAAACGTAAATCCGTCTCGAACAAAAACAAAGCAAGCAAGTCGGTGTGTTCCTGAGGAGGGTTGGTGGCAAGGAGGGGGGACTGGAGTAAACGGGACGATAACGATAACGTGTGGGGGAGCAGCCGCGACGCGGGATAAGACTGGCAACGACGACAAGTGCCAGTTGGAGTGTGTTGCGGGGGTTGGTTGCTTGGTTGCTCGGTGTGTCGGAGAAGAGAGGTGAGTCGTGAGGCGCGCGGAAGGAAGCGAAACGAAATCAAGATCGTGGCGGAGGCCATGAGGGGCTTTTTATGCGTGCAACTGGGCTGGATAGCCGGGGTAGGAGAGCATTCGCAACGGATAAACCAAGGACGCGACAAAGAAAATCCAGCTCGGAGAAAGGGTGAAGTGAACTGAAAGCGCGAGTGAACTGAAAATTCTCATCATCGTCATCGTCGTCGAAAGGTGTCTCTTGGAGAACCAAGTTTCCGCGCGCGCGCGCGCGCGCGCACGCGCGCGACGGGAGGAAACGCGACGAAACGGTAGTAGAACTGACGCGACGACGACGGCGTATCTCGTTTAGATCTTTGTACTTTTGCACGAATGTTTGCAGCCGTGTGTCGCTTTATCATCGCTATCGATCGAGAGTCGCATCGTGTGTGTACGTGTGTGTGTGTGTGTGTGTGTTCACATTGTACTATTTGCCGCGCGTTCGCCTGTTATTATATCATCTCGTTTTCGTGGCGCACCGACCCACCCTACACAGAGACGATGCTTTCTAACGCCCCATGGCCTACGCATCTGATCTGATCGCTCGCAATCGAGTCTCGCTTGAGATTTTTATCGGAGGCTTCCGATCGTGGCGTTGTTGTCTCGTGAGTGAGAGTACGCTCCCTTCTGGGGATCACGATTTCATCTACGAGATTGCGAAAAGTCTCGCCTCGCCGCGAGTCGAAGCGAGTTTCCAACAAGAGAGAGAGAGAGAGAGAGAGAGAGAGAGAGAGAGAGAGAGAGAGAGAAAGAGAGAGAGAGAGGTTTACAACTTCGAACCAACTCCACACACCCCGGAGATATTTCGAACGATTTTTTTCTCTTTTCTTTTATTCTTTCCCCTTATTTCTTTTCGTTACGACGATTCGTCGAATTCTCGTTTGCGAGAAAACAAAGTGGTCTCGAGTAGCGAGAATCGCAAACGTGCCGTCTTTTCTTTCTTTCACGTCGACGACCACGACGGAAACCTTCGCCGCGGCAAGCTCGCGGAAAAAATCGCAACACGGACGATTCACAGGACTTACCGGTGATGTTGTCGCACAGTATTCGCGACGTGATGATTCTGCCGTAAGGACTAAAGAGATTCTCCAGATCCTGCTGCGCCATATTCTTCGGCAAGCCGCTTACATAGAGATTCGCGCCTTTGATCGCCTCGCTGCTCGGTCTTGCGTACGATACCTGAAAATAATGAAGCAAAACGAGACCCAATGAAATGAAGAGACAAGGATACGTACAAGTCTTGCGGTAATTTTAGTCTCTCTCTCGACGATCGGATCGATCGGATCGGCCAAAATGAGGAAACGACCAAATGTCACCGGGACATGTCTCACATGCGTCATTGCGAGAATGGAAGGAGAAAAAGACAAGAAAAAAGGAAAAACACACGCCTCCGCGCGCGCGCGCGCGCGATAATCATCGCTTTATTCTCGCCTGTGCGATAAAACCCGCCCGAATCCAGGCCAGCCTATTTATATTGTTGCACTGCCGCGTTACACGCTCGCGTAGATGCATTTAGCATTCTAGAAATCGAATCGCGCGCTTTACAATGTAGCTCCGAGTTCTGCTCGGAAATAGATTATCGGTCGCTCCAATATCGAGGATTAAAATTGTCAAACGCTAATCCCCACCGGAGTAACATATCTTTCCCCGTGTTACGTCATAAAAATTAACGCGACGAGAGTCGACCGAATATCCCCTCGGAAGCATGTAATTGTGCCGAAATGCAGTAACTTGTCGAGAGACTCGAGAAATTTCAGCGAGAGGAGCCTCGCTCGACACTGCACGAGGAATTTCGAAAAGGTTGGCGCTAACACATGCTACTGACCTTGATCGTTTTGTTCTGTAGACGGAGACCATTGAGCGTGCTTATAGCCTTTTCAGCATCTTCAGGCCGGTGATAGTTGACGAAACCGTAACCCAAACTCTGACCTACAAACAGAGCGGCGTGTCCCAATGAATATCATACGACGACGACGACGATGTCGACGGTATGTCGTTTCGCCGTTATTGACGATGAACGGGTTGCAGAGCCGGGCGCTTCGAAGGCATTCTGCTCTCGAATGAAATGCCTCACTCTGCACCGTCGAGTGAACATTTTCATTCGAGAGTTGATCGTCCATCGCACTCCATATCGTCGTGAGAATAAATTTTCCTCGGACTGTCGGATATCATTTATTCGTACGGATTAAGAAAATCCACTCCGCGAGTCGAGTGAAATATATATTTAAACATGTTCCCACCTTTAAAATACGCTTTAATCATTTCAGCGCTATATCTCTGGACTTCGCAGGACGATTTTTCCACCGTCGCTTCGAGCGGATTTTCACGCGCTTTCATTCCGCGTGATCTCGAGACCAACACACGCGTACGAATCGCGCTCGCAAACGCGTTTGTGTAACGCAAACTGCAACGCACCCGACTCGCGTCTCGGAAGCTCTTCTGCTCCCGTTTAAATGTTTCCTTTAACGCGCTCCAGCTCGCGTCTGTACGCGTGTCCTATTGTCTAATATTGAGGAAATAGTGGCCGCATAATGCCAACTTTAATATCCCCGATACGCGGCGGAATCAATTTTATGAATGGCACTGGTGGCAAATATATCAACGAGCCACTTGGCGAAATGCCTAAAGCACCGGAACTACCAGAATGTACGTGCTCGAGTATTTTTCGCCTCCGCTGAGAAGATAAAATCGCTCTCTTTCTCTTTCGTGTGTCGAGCGTCTCGACACCGAAATAGCCGAATCCGCGGACCGGCTATGATCCTTACCCAATTTTTCAGCATCTCAACCAGCTCCGCTCATACTTTTCGTATCGACAACGGGCGCGAGACAACTTTTCTCTCTCGGTCGCGATAAGCTTGAGAATTTCAGCAGATCGATGTACACATCAGCCGTTCGAAGAAGCGGTAGAAGGGATAAGAGGAGAAGTAGAATTCAAATCGCCGCGGTACCGGGGTGCCGAGGTTGTTCGACGAGCTTCTTGCTAAGTTAACCGATAAGTGAAATCATATGTTTATCTTTATTTTTCCTTCGACTCGACGACAGACGAAGACAAGACATACGATTGAGGCAGCAGTCAACTGCTAAATTAATCAAGGTAAGGTAAGGTAAGGTAATTAATTAAGGCAAATTAAATTAACTTACCAAGAGGTTTGGAACAACAACAACAACAACAACAACCGGCCCTGTGCGATCTTCAGCGGGAGATGAGAGAGAGAGAGAGAGAGAGAATTTTGCCGAAACGCGCGAGACGGCACGGCGTTTACCGCGGGATACGACGCGATACGGTACTGTGATTCTGCCGAGCTGAGGTCGAGCATAAAGCGGCAAATCTTCAAACCAAACGCCGCCCCCGCTCTCTTCGCGCTCGAAATAGCGCCGCAACGTCTATACACGTGCTCGCCGCCACTGCACGGAGAGAACATATACCCGGCGCACACGTACGGTACACGTACGGCGGCTACCACCGCCGAATTACGCTAAATTATGCACGCACGGATTACAGGCCGACGGGGATAGGTCGCGCGAAATGTTTCATCACCGGAGGAGATTCGCGTAGGCCTCGCGCTTACATAAACGCGCGACGACGAGAGAGACCTCCGCCCCGAAGCGAAGCGAAGGTCCCTTCGCGTCGAGAAAGAGAGTGCGACTTTTCTTCTTCCACCGTATCCACCGGCCGTTGGCTGTAATTCTAACAAAATCGCGCGACGAAACTTCTCCCCTTTGCTTTCCCTCGGTTCTTTCTTTTCCTTTTTTGTCAGCGCGATGTCCATCGCGCTTCGATCGCGCCGACCGGACTATTTCGGTCGCTCATGCGGAACTTACCGCCTTTACCATCTTGTGATGCTTACCGCTGAGCTTATCACGGATTAACTTGCAGCTCTCGACTTCGCCTATGCTGGAGAACAGAGAGCGAATCTCATCCTGTGTCATGCTCTGCGGCAAGTAGTTTACAATGAGATTCGTCTTCGACTCCTCCTGCGAGGTCTGTCCGAGGGTCGATCCTCCGTTTTGTTGTACGACTGTGTCCATTCCGTTCGCCATCATTGCAATCCTCTAACGAGTCGTATCTAACTATGTACGAAATCTGCAAGCAAAACGCGCCAGATATTAGACCACCTGTGATCACGACAACTTTATATTGCTATATTTTGTGGTTATCGTCGTAATTATATGTAAAAGCAGTTAACATCGTGATACCGCCGTTTCTGATAATTTTCCGCGAAAACCACCGGTCGCCGCACGAACTCGCCTGTTCGAGAGACTGTTCGGGTCTGCATATTTCCATCTAAGAAAGCGTTTAAAGAAAGTTCAGGGAATCTCGCACGGAAACAGCGGAGACAGCGAACAGAGCGAGAGCGGGTTCTCTCGTCACGAGCCGACGGGAGAAACTTTAGAGTTACGGCACAGATATAAATACAGGTGTAAACACGAAATATCGAAGGATGTAAAAACGCGCGTGATAAGCAAACAACGATGCACAAGAAGTCGCCGGACGCTCGCTGCTGCTCTCGGGTTTTTATGCAGCCCAGTTTAGCATGAAGGCGCGACGCAAGAAGCGTCTTTACCACCAAGCGTATAAAGCAAAATTCACGCAAATCGGCCCCTCGGCTCCGGTATTGTGACTTTTACAGGACTACGAGTTGTACCAAACAATGTTTTTTCTCTTCTTCACCGAACATCAGTTGATGTCACACTTTTCCCCGGTATACGATTCGCGTGTACCTCGCGGGAGAACACAATCTGCAAATTTATCTCTCGCGCTGCCACAATTTTACTCGGATAATAATTTGTCCTCGGATAATAATGTCAGTTTCACGCTCAACCTGACATTTCGAATAGAATAGAATCACGGTGGAAAATAAGCGCTAAGAGTGTACAGATAAATGTGTGATCGTCGAAATTCGTCGTCGTTGAAAGACCGGTTCCCATTGGAAAGAGTAACGATACGAAAGAGTGATAGAATATAAACAAACTTGTGCTCGTATGAAAGGCCGGCCGGACAGCTCTGAAAGGGCAGGCGATTTTAAAAGGACCACTGTCCTTTAAAGAGCCGGAAAACGGATGGTCCAGGCTAAAAGGAAAGCGGATCAGGTGTTTACTCACACCTCCAGCTGGAACAAGTGGAAATAAAATCCGAGACTTGATCGAGAAAGTCGACAACGAATGGCACAGAGAGAGTAAAGACGCAAAGTTTCCTCTCACAACAACGACAACGACCTTTTGTTCACCTACGCGTTGGACGAAACACAGCGAATACGCCTTCCGCTGCAATATCCCGTTACGCTCCTGGCGCGAATAAATTATGAATTGATGTAGTAACCGGCCTCTCATTACCGTCCAAAGAAAAGGGCAATTGATTCCAGAGTATATCAATCGCATATTAAAATCTCATCGCTATCTGACAGCTGACTGGACACTACGTATAAGAGAATGAGAGAAAAACTTCCGGAGGAGTCTAAATTAAAAGACGCGAGCGCACAGCGAAAGAAAGCTTCCAAGGATTCGAGTAAAATTTCATCTATGAGGAAAACTGAGGCGCAAATTGGGCGAATAACATCGACGAAGATTTCGACCGAAGCACGGAATCGTCCGTACGCTTATGCCGAGAGACCCGGCAACTCTTTCGCGCGGGACACCCGGTATACGCGCGCGCGCGTGCGGTCGAGCGTAAAGGAAGAAAAAAAGGACGAAAGAGGGAGAGACAGAGGCAGAGCGAGGAAGGGGAATTACGTGGTGGCTACTATAGGGTGCTACGGTGCTCATGGCACCGTTAAGGCGAGCATACGCATGCACATGACGCGCGTACGCACAATGACATACGTACGTGCACACGCGCGCGCGCGCACACACACACACACACACACAGCCGTCACGACACATTTATCAGACGGCACGAGCCACCGACGTATATTTTAATTCTCTTTTTCGTCCCCTTCTCAGTGTCTGCGGCCCCTTGCCCTGCGCTCTGCCTCCCGCCGTCCTTCCGACGTAAGCATCAGCTGTCCTTAGGGCACCCCCCCCTCCCAGCCTTCCCATCGCCCAGTTCTGTGACCCGCGGTGGTTGCTACCCTAAACGAGCTGTTCACGGTGTCCCGGGGTAACAGATAGCTTTTGTTGGGCGCTCGCACAGAGTGGCTCTGGCCTCTTGAATATTTGCGCGAGATGGACTTGGGAAATGTTCCGTCGTACTTGAAAATATGGCCATCACAGGTGCGAAGCGCCGTCGTCGAGCTTCCTCTCATTTAAGATTAATGGTGTATTTTTATCAGACGAAAGAGAGAGAGAGAGAGAGAGAGAGAGAGAGACTGACTCCGACCGGCACAGGTAGATGATAGAATTTTCGGGGACTCGGAATATTTTCTCGGAAAGACACGGAAGATGTACGATCTTTAGATATTATTATCACGAGCTTGCTAGAGTTCGTCGTAATCGTCGTGATGATTTCGTTGCCTCGAAAGACGGGTTTTACCGACTCGCGATCGGATAATTATCTGCGAGACAGCGAGTAGAGCGAAGGATAACGACGGCAGGTCTTTGATTAAACGCGTAATGCTCCATCGTTATTGACAAAAGAAACATGGCCGAGAACCCGATGAACTTTTGCGCAATCTCCTGATGCAACATTCACAGCGCATCGCGTATGTAAAATTGATAGCTGGAACGCTCGGTTCTCCAGTCAGGTCTCGGAGGGTCTTTGAGAAACGCGAATGTTAATTCGCGAAACGATCTTCCCCGACGATCCTTCGGGCATCGCCTGTTCCGCGCGCAAATGTTCCTCCTCAGCAGCCCCGCGCGACTTGCTCCTTGAAATTGGCGAAAAATTCGATAGAACTCGAGGCTGGCTCGAGCCGGCCACATCTACGCATGATTCAGCCGCGAGAAGTGGAGCAAACTCGACGTTTGAAAAGTTCGAAGTCGACGTAGTCGCGAGTGGAAAGAACAATTTAACTGTAACGCGCGTTCACACGCGGGAAGGAAAGCGCATACCGTAGCCCGCCGCGGAATAGAGAGACAGAGAGAGAAAGAGAGAGAGGCCGCGTCCCCTTTGTTTACGTACGTAGGCGATAAAAGCGTCGCTCGCAGAGGCAGAAAAGTCGCGGTGCGCTTATCGCAACCCGGCATCTTCCTCGTCTATCGATCCGTACGCTCGGTGTTCGCCATCGCGATATATTTTCGGAGCCGACAATGGTATGGCGGGTGAAGCGGCGGCAGAGCGGCCGACTCCATTGTGGCGTCGAAGTATCGCGGACCTATCGTTCTCTCTCTCCCTCTCTCTCTCTCTCCCTCCCTCCTCTCTCTCTTTCTCCACGTTGACTTTTCGACGCATCGGCCGTCATTACCGGATGACAATAGATGCGACCACGTATATGCATATGCATGCGTGTGTGTGTGTGTGTGTGTATGCTGCACACAACACACGCGCATGTCCAAGGGGCAACTTTCTCGGACACGACCCTCAATGAAGCTACGAATATAACGCGACGATGCGCACCCTTATCGGAGAGCTATCCAGCGAGAGATTAATAATTCTGCTAATTAAGCGGCAGAGGGGCCGCGTAATGTTTCCGACAAAGGTTCGCGATTTTTTTTTTAATTATGCCCGCCTCGAGTGAAGTTATTGCCGAGAGGGTGAGTCGTGAAAAGAAATTCGTCAGAGCGACCAGCCGATCGATCAAACGGGAGAGCGAGCGCGTCGTGCTCGCGGAGCTCGGGAATGTACACGTAGTCCCTTCTAGTAGTTGCTTCTTTTTCGTCAAATCACGGGCAAAATTTACGATCGGGACACGCGCGATTGTACAAATGCAAATGACGATTGCGTCGCACCACGCACGCGCGCGCGCGCGAGTAACGTGGATACAAATAATGTTTGCGGCAGCGCGGGACTGTGGCAAGAGACGGAAAAATAGATGATTGGCGAGTTATTTCGAAACGGCAGCGGGCAGCTATCGATCTGACGGAATCGATAGAACGGAAATACCGCTTTATTCTGGGTAAATGCTACGTTGCTTCAATTTAGCGACGCGTCTCTGTCGTATGACCGGACAGCGACGGCCGCTTGTCAGCCGGCTGTCTATCGAATATTTGCACGTCCGAAATCGCGTAATCGCGATTATTTCTTCCGCCGGAGCAGCGAGTCGCGTATCGCGCGACACGCGATTACACACAGCGAACTAACGTACAACAACCGTGCGTAATGATCGATCCAGCGCTCGCGACAGTATCGGTGCCGGCTTCCGGCGAGCCAGAGCGACGTGTGTGTCCAACTATTCAAATTTTTTTGTCTTATTCACAGGGAAGCACACTCGGCAAGGTGGCTGCGGCGGCAAGTGAAAGGACAAAGGGAAAAAGTCTCCTCCCGACGAGGTCGAGTGTCGCGTCATCAAGCTCGTCGGCTCTCCCTCGGCAAGGACGGACGTTGCGCCTACACCTGGCCTGCCGCCGCGATGGTAAAGTTCGCGGGTTAAAGTTCGATTTACACGCGTGCATACGCCGCGTCGTACATATGTGTGTGTATGCATGTGTACGTACACCGCGAGATACGATCTTCGGCCGGTGGCCAGGTGGCCATGGCGACGGATCGTGAAAATCGCGTGGCCGGGGCCGATCAATACGAGCGCGGCTCCTCGGTCCCTGCCTCACGCTCTCTCTCTCTCTCTCCCTCTCTCTTTGTCTCTCTCTCTCTCTCTTTCTCCCGCTCGCTCGCTCGCTCACGCTGACTCTCCCTCTCTCTTTCTCTCTCGCCGCTCTGCGAGAATCTCCCCTACCCCTTCGCCCGTCGCACTGCCGCCCCTGCGCGCGTTTCCGAAGGGAGACCCCCCCGTGCGTGTACGCCCCTTTCCGCGAGAGAAAACGGCTCGCATACGCGGTGTACGCAAGTACGGGCGCGCACGTAAACGCAGTGGCGAGCTTTGGGAGCAGAGGCCACAGGCGAGGGAGAATGCGAGGCGAAGGGGGAGCCGACATGAAGCCGCGGGAAGAACGGCTGTACGAAGAACACAAGGGCGGACGCGCGCGCGCGCGCGCGCACGCACGCATACGAAGACGCATACACACACATGTATTAATGAGGGGGGTGAGAGGGAG